GCAGCTGAGCCTCCCTCCCAGCAGCCAAAGGCAAAGCAGGTCCCTGCTGGGGGCCCCAAGGGGGACAAGCGCTTCACGCGCCAGGCAGCGCTGGCCAGCCCTGAGAGATCCCTGGACAGCAGGGACAGAGCGTCCGTCTGTCCTTGGGAAAGCCCGGACACGGGGCAGCCTCTGGTGAAACCCCAGAGCTCAGCGCTGCCCAAAGCAGCCCCAGGGAAACCCCAGAGCTCAGAGAAGGCAGAGATCTGTCCTTGGGAGTCTGAATCCAGTGACAAAGCTGAAATCTGTCCCTGGGAATCTCAGGGCTCTAAATCCAGTGACAAAGCCGAAATCTGTCCCTGGGAGGTGGCTGAGCCTCAGCTGGAGAAGGGAACAGCCCCAGGCAAGGGTAAACTCCCAGGAAAAGAAACATCTAAAGTTCTGGAGAAGGGAAGCAGAGACCGAGAGTCCATCTGTCCTTGGGAGAGCCTGGACACGGAGCAGCCCCAGGCCAAACCCCAGACTGGGAGCTCAGCACTGCCCAGAGCAGCTCCAGGGAAATCCCAGAGCTCAGAGAAGGCAGAGATCTGTCCATGGGAGTCTGAATCCAGTGACAAAGCTGAAATCTGTCCCTGGGAGGTGGCTGAGCCTCAGCTGGAGAAGGGACCAGGCCAAAGTAAGGGTAAACTCCCAGGAAAAGAAACAAGCAAAGCTCTGGAGAAAGGGAGCAGAGAGAGGGAATCAATCTGTCCTTGGGAGAGCCTGGACACAGAGCAGCCCCAGGCCAAACCCCACACTGAGAGCTCAGCACTGCCCAAAGCAGGCCCAGGGAAATCCCAGAGCTCGGAGAAGGCAGAGATCTGTCCCTGGGAGAGTCAGGACATTAAATCCAGTGATAAAGGTGAGATCTGCCCCTGGGAGGTGGCTGAACCTCAGCTGGAGAAGGGAACAGTCCCAGCTAAGGAGAAACTCCCAAGAAAAGGGGAGACCAAAGCTCTGGAGAAGGGGAGCAGAGAGAGGGAATCGATCTGTCCCTGGGAGTCTCAGGGCTCTAAATCCAGTGACAAAGCCGAAATCTGTCCCTGGGAGGTGGCTGAGCCTCAGCTGGAGAAGGGAACAGCCCCAGGTAAGGGTAAACTCCCAGGAAAAGAAACATCTAAAGTTCTGGAGAAGGGAAGCAGAGACCGAGAGTCCATCTGTCCTTGGGAAAGCCAAGACATGGAGCAGCCCCAGGCCAAACCCCAGACTGGGAGCTCAGCACTGCCCAAAGCAGCCCCAGGGAAATCCCAGAGCTCGGAGAAGGCAGAGATCTGTCCCTGGGAGAGTCAGGACATTGAATCGAGCAGCAAAGCTGAAATCTGTCCTTGGGAGGTGGCTGAGCCTCAGCTGGAGAAGGGACCAGGCCCAGGTAAGGAGAAACTCCCAGGAAAAGAAACCAAAGCTCTGGAGAAAGGGAGCAGAGAGAGGGAATCGATCTGTCCCTGGGAGTCTCAGGACTCTAAATCCAGTGATAAAGCTGAAATCTGTCCCTGGGAGGTGGCTGAGCCCCAGGAGAAAGGAACTGGCCCAGGTAAGAAGCTCCCACCAAGAGAAGCCTCCAAAGCTGTGGAGAAGAGCAGCAGAGACCAAGAGTCCATCTGTCCATGGGAGAGCCCGGACACAGAGGAGCTGTGCCTGAAATCTGCAGTGGGGAAGGAGCCATCCAAGAAATCCGACAGCACGGAGAGCCGGAAATCTGAGATTTGCCCCTGGGAAGCAGCAGAGCCCCTTGGGTTGGAAGAGGCAATCTCCCAGCCGGGTGCGCAGCCCCAGGCAGCCCAGAGAGGTTCCCCTGCAGGGA